TCCTAAGCCTAGGATAAGGATCCAGGCTGCAGGACGTTTGGTCGGAATAACCAAACACTTTACTTTAGGTTGGCTGGAAAAACCAATCTAAAGGTTGGCTGGAAAAACCAACACCCTCCCTAAGCCCAAGATAATGATCCAGGCTGCAGGACGTTTGGTCGAAATAACCAAACACTTTACTTTAGGTTGGCAGGAAAAACCAATCTATAGGTTGGCTGGATTAAACCAACACTTGGTACTCTTTAGCCAAAGTAAGGACATCGGCTAAAGAGTGGTTGACCGAAGTAAGGACATCGACTAAAGAGTGGTTGGTTGGATTAAACCAACTCTTAGTACTCTTTAGCCAAAGTAAGGATATCGGCTAAAGAGTGGTTGGCTGGATTAAACCAACTCTTAGTACTCTTTAACCAGGACATCGGCTAAAGAGTGGTTGGCTGGAGTAAACCAACACTTGGTACTCTTTAGCCGAAATAAGGACATCGGCTAAAGAGTGGTTGGCTGGATTAAACCAACTCTTGATACTCTTTAGCCGAAGTAAGGGCATCGGCTAAAGAGTGGTTGGCTGGATTAAACTAACTCTTATTACTCTTCAGCCGAAATAATGGTATAGGCTGAAGAATGGTTGACTGGATTAAACCACTCTTGGTACTTTTCAGCCGAAGTACGTATATCGGCTAAAGAGTGGTTGGCTAGTAAGGTCAGTCAGTTGGCACAGCTAAGACCGAAATAAAGTATCTCGGCCGAAAAATAGTATGCTTCAAGTTGCAGTTAGAAAGCATGCTCAAACAGGAAAGTAAACCACGATTACAGTTGGAACAATAGAAGTCATTAAAAAGTCACTACAGGTACAAGCATACAGATCAAATCGGAATAACAGTTAGCACAAAAGAAGATGATTCTCATTAATCAAGTTCAAAGCGATTACAAAGGGGGGGCCATAGCCCGGTTACAAGAGCAAAAAGCAACAAGAAAAGAAAGTACAGAATCAAGTAAAAAGGTCTTCAAGATCGGCTTCAATATCAACTTGAACACCGGTTGCAGATGGAAGATCAGTCTCAGTAGCAACTGGCAGAACGGTGTCAGTCGGTGGCTCAATAGTTAGGTCTTTAACCGTTGGCTCCAACCGAGCTGATTGATTGTTGCCTTGCTCGTTGACTACCGGAGTAACAGTTGGCTCATTTTCTTCATCTTCATCATCTGAACCCTGCAAAAATTGTTGTTGGACAGAAGCAGCATACTCTGCTAGTGAGGCCGAAATGAAATAATGAGGAGCATTGTAGACCTCGGTTTCGGGCCCACAGCCGAGCTGCTCCACAGCACTTCTCCAGCTGCACTTGAAAAATAAGTCCTTCGCTCCCTCACATTGTGGAATGTAGAGGCCCTCCGCCTCCTTGAAACCTTCGGCGTTGGCACCATCCACCTTCTTCTTCAGTTCAGCGATTTCGGCATCCTTTTTCACTTTGAGCTTGACTAGCTCACGAAGGTACTCGTCTTTTATCACGGTCAACGCCTTCTGTTTGTCAGCTTCAGCCTGTAGACACCCCATTTTTGACCGTCCTCAAGACTTGGACGTCACCATTTGAACACTCGGTGATTATCCTTGTTTGTGTTCGTTTGGAGTTACCGGAGGTCTCGGCTCGCGCGCCTTGCCTCAGGGTCCCCGAACTCGACCGTTCAGTGTCTGGTTTTGCACCAAACACTTTTGTTTTGCCTTGAAAGGGCAGGGTAGGGCTTGTAGACCATCCCCACCCACCACCGGCATTGGCTAGATGCCACCGGCTGGTTTTTGCTGCCACCGGCAATATAGTTTGCCGGCCGGCACTATTTGTTGCCGGTCAGCACTATTTAGTGCCGGCCGGCACTATTTTTGGCCAAGATGTCATTTTTGGCCGGCTGATTGTTGTTCATCTGCTTTTGCAGATATTTTTAAACAGCTATCTTGCTTTTGCATCCCTCCATACACGTGTATGGAGGGATCTCCCTCTTGTAAAGCTTGTCTTGTAAGCTTTACAAGACATATAGAGAGAAGCTCTCTCTAGCAATGAAAAGAGAAGACTTAGGTTAGGGAGAGAGATATTTTGGAGAGCAAAAAACAGCCATTGTTGAGCTCTTGTTCTAGGGTTTGGGTGAGATACATTTTCTATCTCTCTTTCTCTCCCATTTGTTCACTAGGTGCTTTGTGTCTTACTATTGCACACAAACACCTAGTGTTTCACCTTCCTCTTGAAACTAGGGTTCTAAGGGCTTGTTCTTGAGTTTCTTGACTGGTTTGGAGCAAAAGGAGGCCATTGGAGCACCATTTGTGAAGGGGTCTTCAAGGGTGAGATTCTAGTCCCTTTATTCCCCATTTTTGCATTGATTTTATACCTATCTTAGA